CTCAGGCAGCGGCGGTGACCTCAGCGTGGCCTGCGTGCACCGCCTGTCAGCAGGGCAGTCTCGGTGGAGAAGCGTTCCAGCCCCCTGCAAGAGGCCTAAATTTAGCTGGTAGGGGCTGGCGGGGGGCCCAGGGACTGTCCAGCCTTATAAAGCGCCGGCAGTCGGCCCCCGACACGTTCCCTCAGAGGCCTGCGGCCCACACCCTTTCCTGTGCAACCGGCCGGCTGGACAGGGCCCGGCTGCCCGCCCTGGATGAGCCACCGAACCTCCTCCACCTTCCGAGCGGAGAGAAGCTTCCATTCCTCCTCTTCCTCTTCCTCCTCCTCCTCCTCCTCGGCCTCCCGAGCCCTCCCGGCCCAAGACCCCCCCATGGAGAAGGCCCTGAGCATGTTCTCTGAGGATTTTGGCAGCTTCATGCGGCCCCCCTCGGAGCCCCTGGCCTTCCCAGGCAAGTGTGGGGGCTCTGAGGAGCAGGCGGGCAGGTGGGTGCACAGGTAGGGGTGTGCTCAGAGCCGGTGCTGTGCAGCTGCAGCCAAGTGGCCGCCAGGACAGGTGTGGCTGTGAGCACAGGTGGGCCTCCAAGACATCTGTGACCCCGGGGCTCAGCCACGGCCCCAGTGGTCCCATGTGGCCGCAGCTGTGGCCGGGGCCTAGCTGGACCTCTGGCGGGCTGGGCGGGACTGCGGGGTTGGAGGCATTCCCCAGGCTCCAGGCCTGGAGTGGGGGTGCTCTCCACGGAGTCACACACCCGCTGTCTGGTCTCCGGCCAGGAAGAGATAGGCTCCCTGGAAGTAAATGGTGAGGGGAGTGCAGAGGGGCTGTAAGGGCAGCAGCTGAGAAGGAAGCCAGGTCCGGGGAGCCACATCTTTCCAACAAGCCAGAGACCCAGGTTCTGGAAGCCAGCCCTCCCCGGGCGGGGCCCAGCTCACGGCTGCCTTCCCACAGCCCGTCCTGGGGGGCCGGGCAACATCAAGAGCCTTGGAAATGCCTATGAGTTTGCAGTCGACGTGAGTGACTTCTCGCCCGAAGACATCATTGTCACCACCTCCAACAACCACATCGAAGTGCGGGCCGAGAAGGTGAGTCTGGCCTCCACCCCCACCCCCTGGACTCTTGTCCTTATCCTGTGCCTATCCCACCCCTGCCCTACCCTCATGCTGCATTCTGGGACCCCAGACCCAGACCAGTGTCCCTTCCTGCCCCAGGACTCCCCAAGAATAAGCTGGGGACTCTGCCCTTCATTGTTCATGAGCCACGGGACCCCTGACTGGCCCTCTCTGCCCCAGTCCTCCCAGGTTCCTTCTTCGTGTCCCCAAGAGCCCAGGGCTGGGACCTGGCTTGGGAGAGAGGAGGATGGCAGTAAGGAAGGGAGAGCAGGGGATACTGGGGCAGGAGGGTCCCTGCCGGCCACACCTTCAAGCTCTGTCCAACTGGAATCAGAGGCCGAGCCTCCTTTTGGAACCCTCAGATCAGGCTCAAAGCAGGGCAAAGGGTCCCCAGGACTTTAAGCCCCACATTCCCTCCACCGACATGTCTCGGGGTCACTGTGTCACTAGGTCTGGGTCTCAGGGGTGGGGAGGCCTCCAGCAGGAGGGTGTGGCCTCCTTGGGCAGGGATGCTGCCCCAGGTGGGATGGGAGCCCCAGGTGTTGGAGGAGGAGCGGATCTGGTCCAGATTCCCCGCCGCCGCCAATCCCCACAGCCCACGTACCCCCAAAACTGAGTGAGGGAGCCTGGTCAAGATCTACAGGCACCAGCATCAGCAGACAGCACTGGCCAGCTGTGCCCCCCACCCCACCTGTCTGCCTCCGGTGACTCAGCCGCCCGAAACACCTCTGGACACAATGTACTGGCTGAGCTGGGGGGAGGGGCCACTGGCCCAGCCCCACGTGGGGACACGCAGTGCATGTGGGTGTCCGGGGAGACACGGCTCTTGTCTTTGCCCACTCCTCCGGGGCTGCGCCAGGTCCCACATGCTGAGTCACTCCGGCACCAGGCCTCTCGCTTACTCTCTGTCTGTCCCTGCTTAGCCCTCAGCCTGGGATGGCAGGGCTCGACTTAGGGAGGCGGGAAGCAGCCAGAGGAGGAGTGTGGGGCTTGATGCACACAGCACAGTGGTGGGGCAGCCTGACTGACCCACCCCGTCTTCCCCAGCTGGCGGCTGATGGCACCGTCATGAACACCTTCGCCCACAAGTGCCAGCTCCCTGAGGATGTGGACCCCACATCAGTGACCTCAGCCCTGCGGGAGGACGGCAGCCTCACCATCCGCGCAAGGCGCCACCCGCACCCAGAGCACGTTCAGCAGACCTTCCGGACGGAGATAAAAATCTGAGCCGCCCCCACCCCCCACCACCAGCTGCCCGACTGGGGACAGTTGGCCGCAGACAAGCCTTCCCACCCTCACCACAACAGCCCCCAGACATCTCAACCCAGCCTTCTGATCCTGACACCCCGGGGCCCCAGGCGGGTCTTCCCAGCAAATTAGGGCCTTCTGCTCTGCCCAGAGCAGGCCTGGGACCCCCTGGCCTCACCCATAGCCCCCAGCTCCAGATGTGGCTTTCTTCATTAGTCCAGACTAGAGGGGTTGGGGTGGGGAAAGAGGGGTCCCAGCGAAGTCCCTATGGGGGAGGGTCAGGCAGAACCTCTGGGCTAATATCTGCAGGACAGACAGACAAACCCTTTGATCTGTGGAATCGCTGCAGGGCGGGGGACCCAGGACTGGGGCTCCTTGGCCAAGGGGAGGGGAAGACCGAGGGAAAAATCATAAAGCTGCCCTTCCAGGTGGTACTGCCCCAGGGCAGAGGGAGGCCTGACCAGAGAGCTGTGAGGGTGAAACCCCTCTGCACCCTGCCACTCTCCAAGCCTCAAGCCATCTGGCAGGCTGCCTGCCCACTCTGGTGCCCCTACATCCCTGGGGCCCATTCCCCAGCCAGCCAGCTGTGCCAGGGCAGGGTCATGTAGTGTCTGTGTATCGATGGGGTTTTTCCAATACAGCTGGTTCATGCCAAATTGTGTAACTCCTGCTGGTGCCTCCAAGGGATGCTGGGGTGGGGGTGGGGCTGGTCCTGGGGCACCAGGGCTGCCAACAGGATCACCAGCAGATGGTGGGAGAGAGGGCAAGTGGGCTTCAGGTGTTCAAGGTTGGATGCCAGCTTTTTGCCAACCTTCCCATTTGGCTAGGAGTCTTCCCAATCCTGCCTCATCCTTAATCTATGAATCTTTAAACTTGGTGCACACACACACACACATAAATCATTGTTCTTCAAATACCAAGCGGCGTCCATTAGTTGAGGTATAAGTCAGAGCATTTTAAGACCAGCCTTATCCTCTCCAGGTTAGCAATGGGAAACTGAGTGTCTGAGCAGTTGAACCCCTGCTGCCTCACCGAAGGCTGGATTTGAACCCAGGACGCCAGAAGCCACTCTCTGCCCACATGCACTGAGGAGCCCTGGTGGCACGGTGGGCACACACAGAGCTGCTAGCGGCAAGGCCAGTGGTTCTGGGGCAAAGATGAGGCTGTCTGCCTCCGTGGAGCTACAGCCTCAGAAACCCAGTGGGAACCCCACTCTGCCGTACAGCGCTGCCAGCGGCCAGCCTGGACTCCATGCCCATGGGTCCCCCCTCTCTAGGCCTATGCCTTCTGTCCCCGCACTTTCCAGCTGGGGAGGAGCAGGAGAGCCACAAACAGTCCCCAATCGATCTAAGGATCCAAGACAGGAACCGCCATCAACCTGAACCCCAGAAGCCCTGCTGCACCCAGGGGCCCTGGCTCAGTTTCCCACGTAGAACCAGGGCGCAGGTTAGTTAGTCTGTGAACAGGAGGCACAGCCCCCTCTGCCCTCCATGTCCCTCATGTCAGGTGACCTATTCAGGTGACCTGCCACCCCTGCCATGTTCAGGCCATTTGTGTAGGACAGGGGTGCATGCGTGTGCGTGTGTGTGTGTGTGTGTGTGTGTGTGTGTGTGTGTGCGCATGAGGGGCTGGCATTGCACTGTGGACTTCTGCAGACCACCTGCCACAGGGCCTGAAACTCTGGACCTAGCGGTAGGGGTGAGGATGGAGCAGGGCCATGGAGATCCCCAGGAGGAGACACATCTGCCCCAGCAGATTTTGGGGTGCTCAACACCCCACAAAGATGCGAGTATGGGTACTCGCAGGCTTCTCTGTCATTTCCTGGGCCCACCTGGGCGATAATCCTGGGATGATTTCGGTGGAAAAGCCTGCAGGGACTCCTCTTCCAACTTCCTTTTTTACATTCATCCTGTCCCTCAAGAGAGGCTCGGCTCCCTGCTGCTGTGCAGGCTCTGGGGCCTGCATCTGGGCAGACTGCAGTGGGTCCTCTCTGAAGCCCACCTTGTACCAGATGGGGCGTGAGGCCCAGAGTCACGGAGCTCGGAAGCTGAGGTGACTGGAACCCTTCAGGGCTGGCTGGCCCGTGCAAGGGCACTGTGGGAGCACACCCCAGGTGCTCCCCAATAGGCAGGCTATGGACAGGAGGGGGGCGGGGGG